GCGTTTCGTCCCCCTGCATGTTGTGTATCAGTCAGTCAGTCATGACTGATTGACTGACTTTTTTTAACCCGAAAAGCCGCCCGAGAAAACGAGTTCGTTTCCATTACACTTTGCGCACAACTGACGCTCATAATTTTTACCCAGAGGACGTGTGCGTATCTTGTGGATATTACGTACGAGCGAAACTCATAAATGTTGCTCAGCCTCGATTTCGCCACCAAGAAACCCGCCGAACGTCTCCGGAGCATCAAGGATGGCCTCGGTGTACGATTCATCTCCTTGCTTCATCGGTTTTTTCCTGAGACTCGTTGAATAGGTCCTCGCCTATGGCCAGTCCGAATACGTCCGCCAGTTTGGCATGACGGTCGACCATGCCGCGGGCCCGCTCAAAGTCCAGGCTAGGGTCTTGAAGCCACCCATGCTCAAGTACGGCGTGGGTTCCCGCCAGTTGACGATAGTGCGTGTCTTTTCGTGTTCTATTCAATCCGGCTGCTTTACCTTGCTTCCTCCTCCATCAGACTCCTCGCGACGGTGCGTGGAACATGGTCGACAAGCGCTTCTTCAAGCCTGTGGCGATTGAACGATGGGTGGTCATCATCTACGAGCAGCAGGTGAGTATCAGAGCTCTCTTCCATTTACTTGTCTGACACGATGTACAACCACAGCGTCGGTTCAACGAAGGCGCGGCGCAGGACATGATCAACGGATTGGTCAGTAGCTGCCGCGACGTCGGTACGTCCATTCTCCTCCTGCCCTCTCCTCCTCCCGCTTACTTTGCACAAACAGGCATCAAGCTTGCTCCCACCCCGTTCATATTCTGGGAGAACGGTGCGTTCTTATATATATATATATATTCATCTTTGGTTGCGTCTGATATCAACACCGTTCAGGGCAAGGCAGAATTGCCGACCAGCTCAGAGCAGCCGGCGCCGCCTGCGCCAAGCAAATGAAAGCCGGGCCAAACCTCATGGTCGTAATCTTACCTGAGTAAGTCGCTGCATGGTGTCCGGACGAATCTATACTCACAATGCAACAGGGGCGGAAATGATATCTACACGTCGGTCAAGCAGTGCGTACCTCTCTTTCCTCCTGAGATCCTCTTTTTCTGAACCGGTTTCCTCAGCTTCGGTGATATCACGGTCCCTATTACTCTCCGCAAGCTCTGCTCCCCATGTAACATGATTGTTGCAGATGGGCGTCGCGACGCAATGCCTAAAGTCGAGCAAGTGCTTTAGAGCAAAACCGCAATACTACGCCAATGTATTCCATCATCCAAACCGATTCATTCTGACTCTGAACTCTTGCCTTGTAGGTCTGCTTGAAGTAAGTGATCACTCTTTCGCTCCTTTGTGTCACTTTCTCACTTCCTACCTCAGGATCAACGTCAAGCTTGGTGGTATCAACACCATCCCCGACCCTTCGTCCGTCTCCGTCTTGACGGACCCGCACAACCCCACCATCGTCATGGGTGCGTTCCTTTCATTTTGTGCTCTCACGCTTGTGTGTTTACTCTCTTTTTTAGGCGGTTCGTCTCCGTTTCTTTTTCGTTCCATTGGCGCGCTGATAAACAGCCGTTTCACTGAAATTCAGCTGATGTTCGTCCATTCCCTGCCTGCTTTCTTTATTTCTGACCATTCCCCCAGGTCATCCACCCCGCCCCTGGTTCCGATGGTCGCCCTTCCTTCACCGCCCTCGTCGCCAATGTCGACTCCGACACTGCCAAGTACATCGCCGCAAGCCGAGTTCAAACTTCTCGTCAAGAAATGATCGAAGAGCTCGAGTCGATGAGCAAGCACGTCCTCTCGATGTACATGAAATACCGCGAGATGGCCGAGAAAAAGGCGGCCGGGAACACTGCGCCGAAGCGCATCATCTTCTACCGCGGTGCGTTCGTCTGTATTGATTCGAATCTGAGGCTCACTCTGCTCGCAGATGGTGTCTCCGAAGGCCAGTTCAAGCAGGTCCTGGAGCAAGGTTGGTCGCCACCGCCTCCCTTTCGTTCATTTTTTACTCACTTGAATGGCACAGAATTGCCGCTGATCAAGAGTCTGCTATCCCCTTTCTTCTGTTTTGTTGTTCTTTCTCATTCCTCCGCAGAGGCTTGCGCGTCCCTCAACATTAACCCCAAAATCACCATTCTTGTTGTCGGAAAGGTGTGTTGCTCCGTTGTCTTTCAAGCCCGCTCGCTTACCAACACCCCTTAGCGCCACCACGTCAGGTATTCCCCTCCTCCTTGTTTCCAAACTCTTTGGTTTATTCTCTCCCCAGATTCTTCCCGCAGAGCGAGCGCGATGCCGATCGGAGCGGCAACTGCAGGGCGGGCACCGTCGTCGATCGGGAGGTGTCGCATCCCACCGAGTTCGACTTCTATCTCCAGGTGCCTCGCTCCCCTTTATTTTATTGCACTCTTACTTATTTCTCCAGTCACACGGCGGGTTGCTTGGTGAGTCTCCGCAAGTCCGGTCGACTTCCTGTTTATTGACCTCAAATCCCTTCTCTAGGCACGAGTCGTCCCGCGCATTATTCCGTCCTCTACGACGTGAGTCTCCTCCGTTCCCTCTGTCATATTCTCCAACTAAGCCGGTGCAGGAAAACAACTTTAGGTGAAAATGGACGGCCCAAACCGATAAAAATATACTCATCTTCCGTACACTCCAGCGCCGACTCGCTCCAGTCCTTGTCCTTCGCCCTGTGCCACGTCTACGCGCGCTCCACGCGCTCCGTATCGATTCCGGCCCCTGTATATTGTCAGTACACGAACCTCTACTGTATTCCCGTCGCTTATCCTCCTCAGATGCCGACATAGTCTGCTCCCGGGCCAAGAACCACTACGACCCCCAAGGCACCGTCGACTTCTCCGACTCCGCGACGCAGGTCGACGACGCACAAGCGACGAGCTCGCTCGAGGCGTTCAGGCGCGGTTTCAAGCCTCTCCACCAGTCGCAGTCTACACTCATGTATTTCTCGTGATCTATCTGCCGCATATATTCAATCATCTTGGTACGTCTCTCTCGGCTTGAAAACACGCCTCTCCTCACCCATTTGCTAGTACCTGCGCTGCTCTTTATACGCGTGTTCGTTTTACTTAAATACAATTGCTTGATGTATTTCTATCTTTAATTGAATCCGCTGGCTTTTCGCCGACTGTTCACCGATTGATGCGATAGTTGATGCCAACACCACCGATCGATCCCCTCCCGATGACGTCACGCGACTCGCCCTCCAGCCATGTCTTCTTTCAACGTCCATCTTCCCGACTTTCTCCTCGTTGCTGCTAGAATTCCTGTCGTGGCAATCGGGTTACCTCTGGGTCTAGGTCTCCTCAGTGGCTATCCTACGGCACAAGTAGTCCGAAGTGATTGGTACAAAGTACATCTGCTCTGCCACCTGGTCGGCGGTTCGGTAGCTGAAAGAATCTCTACTTACTAGAACCTGCGCACCCCTCCGGGTCGCCCACCCCGCCAGGTTTTTCCTCCCCTTTCCGCGAGAAATTCAGCTTCTTTCATGAACTCGTCGCCACCCTAGTGGCACCATTAAATAAGTTTTTCTCTACCTCTCCCCCCCCAAAAAAATAAACTCTAGTTTAATGGGATGACTAGAGAGACTAAGTGGCCCAATTTCTCAGCGTCTCTCTACCTCTGGTCCCAACAATTCCTGGAATGCATTCTTCTCTTCATAATTCGCGTTGTCCGACGCCGCTCGGCCATCTCCGATGGCTCTGCTAAATCATTCGCTCCGCCGCGCTCTGAATACCGTGTAGAGCTTCCGGATCATGAACATCCAGGACAAGAATCAAGATAAACCAGTAGCCCAGCCGGCCACAATCCTCAAACAACAAAACCAACAAAACAGAGACATCTCGCCACTAGGTCACCATGAGAATTTATTCACTGCAATCCGCATAACCTCCGTCGAAACCCTGAACATAAATGATTCGGTCACCACGGCGCGAGCGCGAACCAGGGGGCAGTTCACCTTCGATACAGCCAACGCGCCGACGTGTCCGCGACTCATTTCAGTACTGCCGCCTCCGAAGCTGCCCTTCTATCGACACTCGTCTGCAGTCTTGTGGGCCCTAAACTCCCATTGGGTCTAGACTTCATTCCCGAAAGTATATTACAGTGGCAAGCTGGTGACCAAGAAATTACAAAAGCAACAGCGACAAGTTCGTCTAATCGCTAGCAACTTGTGATGCAACAAAACAAAATCATTACGAGCACTCTCAAGGAAAGTCGGTGGGATCTTCTGAAAGCCCGTACTCCTGTGACGCTCCTCCGCGTCAACCTTATCAACTCATCCGCCCAACGCTGGCGGCTCTCACCCGTGAGTTCGACGTCTTCGGGGTTGCGGCGTGCAACATACATAAACCGACCGAGCGAACTCACTAATCTTAGCTCCGAGGAGAACATGCCAGGCACGCTGGCACGATTGGGCTTGGGGACAGCGAGTCTAGTGGGGAGCCGTACGAATCCCTTGGTTCACTCGGTTGTCTTCTCAGCTCTGTTGGTATATTCTTGCGACAGATGGAGCATGCTTCGATTTTTTCTTGCCCTGAGAGGAACTCGTTGAGATGGAGGAGCGCCGCGCCTAAAGAGACGTGGATGCGATGAATGGTTGGACATGGTATAGGCGGGTCTATAGCATAGTGATCCTCCTAAACGACTTTCTTCCGAAGATCACGGAGAGAGTTGTAGACAAGCTAGAGAGGTTGAAACAAGCCCATAGGCGGAGCACGGCGTGTTCATGTGGTAGAGTGTACAAACGATCACACCGTTTGTCAAATAAGTGCATCGCATTATTCGTTCGCTTTTAAGCCATGCATCCCACGGGCGAAGAAAAGACGATTTTCACTACTGGGAGCCTGTTGTAGCAGGTGAATAAACGGCGGAGGCATGCTGAGACTTTGCAGGGTCGCCGTAGTATTGATCCAATATTGGGCCATCGTGACGCATTGTAGTCTCGTAGGTCCTCAGATACCTCTGCTGGGGTCGACTCATGTCGGCTGCGTAGTGTAGCGGTTATCACTTCAGATTCTGATATCGTGAATTCTGGCGACCCCGGTTCGATTCCGGGCGCGGCCTTTGTTTTTGGTTTCGACTCGAGAGCTTTTTTTTTTTTTTTTACGCACTGCCAAGCACATGGCCTCAACAGCATACAAAGTTTTGCTCAAGTACCCATATGAGCCAAAGCAAGGTAGGTAAAGTCGTCTTTGTATTACTCTTGTTTCACCGAGTTCTCTCCCCTGTGGTTCAGCCACCAAATCCCTCCGTTAAGATACGTTGCGAAGGAGAGCCAAGCACAATAGGGCAATAGCAAATACATAGCTGGGGGAGAATGCACGGCAAGCAATTTCTGAAGTTGGGTTACAGAGCTATTACTGGAAGAAGAGACAGAGCTTCACTTACGGTCATATAAAATGTGGCTGCCGCCATTATGCCACTGTCGACTAGGGCAAATCCAGTCTGTAGCAGTGTTAGGGTGGGGTACATAATCGTGAACTAGGATAGCCCACTTTCTTAGCACCAAAAAAGAGCGGTGTCCAGAGAATATTCAATGCAAGTTGAGCATAATAAAGGGACAGGGCGAGCATGCAGTCGGATCTGGTGGGAGATGGGCATTCTAGGATATGATGAAATGTAGAATTTACTTGGCTGAGGGAGAAAACGCGCTGTCCAGGGCTTTTACTATGAGGTGAGAAGCATATCCCATGGCTCAAGCTCTGGGTCATTCCTGGGGTATTGTGTCGCAAGGAAAGTCACATACAGATGTACAAGACAGGCCAGACGATAGGAAAAACCTGGCGGGGTGGGCGACCCGGAGGGGTGCGCAGGTTCTAGTAAGTAGAGATTCTTTCAGCTACCGAACCGCCGACCAGGTGGCAGAGCAGATGTACTTTGTACCAATCACTTCGGACTACTTGTGCCGTAGGATAGCCACTGAGGAGACCTAGACCCAGAGGTAACCCGATTGCCACGACAGGAATTCTAGCAGCAACGAGGAGAAAGTCGGGAAGATGGACGTTGAAAGAAGACATGGCTGGAGGGCGAGTCGCGTGACGTCATCGGGAGGGGATCGATCGGTGGTGTTGGCATCAACTATCGCATCAATCGGTGAACAGTCGGCGAAAAGCCAGCGGATTCAATTAAAGATAGAAATACATCAAGCAATTGTATTTAAGTAAAACGAACACGCGTATAAAGAGCAGCGCAGGTACTAGCAAATGGGTGAGGAGAGGCGTGTTTTCAAGCCGAGAGAGACGTACCAAGATGATTGAATATATGCGGCAGATAGATCACGAGAAATACATGAGTGTAGACTGCGACTGGTGGAGAGGCTTGAAACCGCGCCTGAACGCCTCGAGCGAGCTCGTCGCTTGTGCGTCGTCGACCTGCGTCGCGGAGTCGGAGAAGTCGACGGTGCCTTGGGGGTCGTAGTGGTTCTTGGCCCGGGAGCAGACTATGTCGGCATCTGAGGAGGATAAGCGACGGGAATACAGTAGAGGTTCGTGTACTGACAATATACAGGGGCCGGAATCGATACGGAGCGCGTGGAGCGCGCGTAGACGTGGCACAGGGCGAAGGACAAGGACTGGAGCGAGTCGGCGCTGGAGTGTACGGAAGATGAGTATATTTTTATCGGTTTGGGCCGTCCATTTTCACCTAAAGTTGTTTTCCTGCACCGGCTTAGTTGGAGAATATGACAGAGGGAACGGAGGAGACTCACGTCGTAGAGGACGGAATAATGCGCGGGACGACTCGTGCCTAGAGAAGGGATTTGAGGTCAATAAACAGGAAGTCGACCGGACTTGCGGAGACTCACCAAGCAACCCGCCGTGTGACTGGAGAAATAAGTAAGAGTGCAATAAAATAAAGGGGAGCGAGGCACCTGGAGATAGAAGTCGAACTCGGTGGGATGCGACACCTCCCGATCGACGACGGTGCCCGCCCTGCAGTTGCCGCTCCGATCGGCATCGCGCTCGCTCTGCGGGAAGAATCTGGGGAGAGAATAAACCAAAGAGTTTGGAAACAAGGAGGAGGGGAATACCTGACGTGGTGGCGCTAAGGGGTGTTGGTAAGCGAGCGGGCTTGAAAGACAACGGAGCAACACACCTTTCCGACAACAAGAATGGTGATTTTGGGGTTAATGTTGAGGGACGCGCAAGCCTCTGCGGAGGAATGAGAAAGAACAACAAAACAGAAGAAAGGGGATAGCAGACTCTTGATCAGCGGCAATTCTGTGCCATTCAAGTGAGTAAAAAATGAACGAAAGGGAGGCGGTGGCGACCAACCTTGCTCCAGGACCTGCTTGAACTGGCCTTCGGAGACACCATCTGCGAGCAGAGTGAGCCTCAGATTCGAATCAATACAGACGAACGCACCGCGGTAGAAGATGATGCGCTTCGGCGCAGTGTTCCCGGCCGCCTTTTTCTCGGCCATCTCGCGGTATTTCATGTACATCGAGAGGACGTGCTTGCTCATCGACTCGAGCTCTTCGATCATTTCTTGACGAGAAGTTTGAACTCGGCTTGCGGCGATGTACTTGGCAGTGTCGGAGTCGACATTGGCGACGAGGGCGGTGAAGGAAGGGCGACCATCGGAACCAGGGGCGGGGTGGATGACCTGGGGGAATGGTCAGAAATAAAGAAAGCAGGCAGGGAATGGACGAACATCAGCTGAATTTCAGTGAAACGGCTGTTTATCAGCGCGCCAATGGAACGAAAAAGAAACGGAGACGAACCGCCTAAAAAAGAGAGTAAACACACAAGCGTGAGAGCACAAAATGAAAGGAACGCACCCATGACGATGGTGGGGTTGTGCGGGTCCGTCAAGACGGAGACGGACGAAGGGTCGGGGATGGTGTTGATACCACCAAGCTTGACGTTGATCCTGAGGTAGGAAGTGAGAAAGTGACACAAAGGAGCGAAAGAGTGATCACTTACTTCAAGCAGACCTACAAGGCAAGAGTTCAGAGTCAGAATGAATCGGTTTGGATGATGGAATACATTGGCGTAGTATTGCGGTTTTGCTCTAAAGCACTTGCTCGACTTTAGGCATTGCGTCGCGACGCCCATCTGCAACAATCATGTTACATGGGGAGCAGAGCTTGCGGAGAGTAATAGGGACCGTGATATCACCGAAGCTGAGGAAACCGGTTCAGAAAAAGAGGATCTCAGGAGGAAAGAGAGGTACGCACTGCTTGACCGACGTGTAGATATCATTTCCGCCCCTGTTGCATTGTGAGTATAGATTCGTCCGGACACCATGCAGCGACTTACTCAGGTAAGATTACGACCATGAGGTTTGGCCCGGCTTTCATTTGCTTGGCGCAGGCGGCGCCGGCTGCTCTGAGCTGGTCGGCAATTCTGCCTTGCCCTGAACGGTGTTGATATCAGACGCAACCAAAGATGAATATATATATATATATAAGAACGCACCGTTCTCCCAGAATATGAACGGGGTGGGAGCAAGCTTGATGCCTGTTTGTGCAAAGTAAGCGGGAGGAGGAGAGGGCAGGAGGAGAATGGACGTACCGACGTCGCGGCAGCTACTGACCAATCCGTTGATCATGTCCTGCGCCGCGCCTTCGTTGAACCGACGCTGTGGTTGTACATCGTGTCAGACAAGTAAATGGAAGAGAGCTCTGATACTCACCTGCTGCTCGTAGATGATGACCACCCATCGTTCAATCGCCACAGGCTTGAAGAAGCGCTTGTCGACCATGTTCCACGCACCGTCGCGAGGAGTCTGATGGAGGAGGAAGCAAGGTAAAGCAGCCGGATTGAATAGAACACGAAAAGACACGCACTATCGTCAACTGGCGGGAACCCACGCCGTACTTGAGCATGGGTGGCTTCAAGACCCTAGCCTGGACTTTGAGCGGGCCCGCGGCATGGTCGACCGTCATGCCAAACTGGCGGACGTATTCGGACTGGCCATAGGCGAGGACCTATTCAACGAGTCTCAGGAAAAAACCGATGAAGCAAGGAGATGAATCGTACACCGAGGCCATCCTTGATGCTCCGGAGACGTTCGGCGGGTTTCTTGGTGGCGAAATCGAGGCTGAGCAACATTTATGAGTTTCGCTCGTACGTAATATCCACAAGATACGCACACGTCCTCTGGGTAAAAATTATGAGCGTCAGTTGTGCGCAAAGTGTAATGGAAACGAACTCGTTTTCTCGGGCGGCTTTTCGGGTTAAAAAAAGTCAGTCAATCAGTCATGACTGACTGACTGATACACAACATGCAGGGGGACGAAACGCACCACTTGCTTCCTCATCAACTTGAACCAAATGTTAGAATAATATTGCAGCGCGAGAAGCAAACTCACTTGTCCGGGGGGGACGACACAAAGCTCTGGGAGGAAGGTCGGCAGAGCACGTTGAAATGAAATCAGAAAGACTCACCCAGTGGGATCAGGGCGCCCGATCCAACCTCACAACAAATCACATCCGGGAACTGCAGGGGCTTGTTTTGCGTGTTCTGGAAATAATCAGAGACCGTCATCGTCTGTCCCTCGCGCATTTGGAATGTGAGGGCGCTGGCGCCGGCAGTGCTGAGCTTTTTGATCACACGGGGCGTCTGGACTTCGCTACCACCCGGGCCAGCGTGCGTGGTCAGGACACGGATGCCAGAGATGAAGCGCTGCAGGCGGAGGCGCTCGCGATCCGGGAAACCACGCTTTGGCGACAAGGCGTTCGGGTCGTTCTTGCCAATGTACTCCAAGCACAGACGAAGAAGGGGTCCATGTTTGTATTAGGGGACTTGAATCGTGATAGGTCTATGCAAAGTGTAAGTATGTAACGATCGAGATTTTCTTTGCTATAAAAAGACCAGTCTTGTTCTCGTAATCTTCGCGCAGGCTAAGCCTGCGCAAGGTTTTCCCATGTAAATCCTGACGCAGGCTAAGCCTGCGTCAGGTTTTCCGATGTAATTTTGTTTTTCCCATGTAGATCCTGACGCAGGCGTAGCCTGCGTCAGGTTTTTCCATGTAAATTTTTCTTTCTCGTGTAATGCTCGCGCAGGCCTAGCCTGCGCCAGGTTTTCCCATGTAATTTTTTTTTTGTCAAAAAAAAAGACAA